AAACAGGCTTATGTCTACGCAAGTCGGATCCGTGCGCACCCGGCTGCACACAGCGCACACAGATAGATGTGTGCACAGAAACATGCACGGGGGCCACGTGCACCGCGCCCTGTCCGGCCCATGCAGTTAGCCGAGCGAAGGCAGGCGCGGCCACACACACACATCCCCCACCCCGCAAGGGCCTCAGGTTTTGTAGTTTTAGGGACTACGTCAGTCAAAGGCAGAAATGACGGAAAAGGAGCCCCCAGGTTCTGAGGGGAGAGGAATCTGGCACCTTCCTGGTGGTTTGCTACTGGCGCCCTGCAGAACAGCAACGCGACTCACACAGGCCCAGAGACGCCCGCCCGGTCTCAAAGGGCAAGCAGGCTCCAGACAGGCCCCGCTGCCTGTCACACACCGCAAGGGAAGTAGGGAGAATAGGTTCTGCAGCCAGGCCTTGGCCCTAACTATTGCCTGTTCCCCAGCGAGAGGCCGGTGATGCCCTCCCCATCCCTGGGGCACCAGGTCGGGGACCCCACGCCCACACAGGGAGAAGGGAGCAGGAAGTGCGGAGGGAAAGGAGCATGTGACAGGCTCACAATGGCCTTCCGGCCTCGGGCTCAGGGTTGCACTTGGAAGGAAGGTGGCCTAATCTCACGTGCAAACAGCCCCCCACCCAGCTCCAAGGACTCTCAGGGCTCAAAGTTCTCTTTCAACCCTAAATGCCAAGGCTTCGATTCTGATGGTAAGATTTCAGGCCCAAGGATGGGGAGAGGGTGGTCTATTTTTCACCCCATTAGAGAACCAGCAAAACTGCTCTCAGGGTCGCCTTTTTATTTGGTCCCCCCCCCCCCCCCCCACAACCCCCAAAAAAGGAGCCTTGAATACACTTGAGCCTAAGGAACTAGCCTAAAGTAGGCGATGGCCATTTGGGGAAGGCGGAGCCACAGCAAGCAGAAGAGAGCGCGGCCCCAAACCCTCTGCCACTAAGGACAGGACAGAAACTAACAACACGTGTGCAGCAAGCTTCCCGCCGCTCAGCAGACACCCACGGAGGCTCCAGTGGGGCAACGGAGAGGCAGCCGAGGCAAGGGCCCTGTCCCACGGACACCACAAACTGGCAAGAGAGAAGACGGGCATAGCGGCAGCCCAGGAGAGCGGTGCAGGGCACCAGCCCAGCTCCCCCTTCTTCCTGGCCAGGTCACCCTGGGTGAGTGTTTTCCCGCTTGTCCTGTCTCCCTGCCAGGCATTTACAGACCAGTGGCACCCATGTGTGTGTGACTGTGATAGCAAAACATTCCTAAGAGACACAAGTGCTTGCTCTAAATTGGACCTGGGAAGACAGCTCAGAAATTATGCACACACACAGAATTACACATCACCCACGGAAGGACACACACGTCTGCAATCTTAACTGGAAGCTGAACGTCTACGCCGCGAGTTTGCCATGCTTGTGGAGTCAGATGTGACAAGCCTGTATCCGGCTGGGTGCCTGCCCCTCGTACCACCTCTGCTTTCAGAGGTCCATCCCCCAAATTGGGGAGGGGGGGGGAGGGCTGTCCTCTCACAGACCTCTTCCTGGGGGAGCCTTCCTTTTTTTTTTTAATTAATATATTTTATTGATTTTTTTACAGAGAGGAAGAGAGAGGGAGAGTTAGAAACATCGATGAGAGAGAATCATCGATCAGCTGCCTCTTGCACACCCCCTACTGGGGATGTGCCCACAACCAAGGTACATGCCCTTGACCGGAATTGAACCTGGAACCTTTCAGTCCACAGGCCGACGCTCTATCCACTGAGCCAAACCGGTTTCGGCTGGGGAGCCTTTCTTGATTACCATTGTGTAGTGTAGGGGTGTCGAACTCAATCAGAGAAGGGGCCAAAATCTAAAATCCAGCCTAAATCGCGGGCCGAATGGTTTACTGAACAGTCATAAACTGTCATTGTGATGGAAATGCAGCGGAGTGCAGTGATGACAGCGCGGTGCGGGCCACATTGCAAGGCCTGGCGGGATGGATTTGGCCCTCGGGCCTTGTGTTTGACACATGTGGTGTAGTGGGGGGATAAAAGGGGGGGGTGGGGTGGGGGAGACCACCCTTCCCCCTTCCCTGGGTCTGAAATTCCACCATGAGAATCAGAGCTATAGAATTTAAAAGTTGGAATGGACCTTTACGCTCCAGTCCAACCTCCACCCCGCAGAGGAATCCCGTCCATAGACACCCTGACAGATGGCCAGCCGTCCTCTCCTATGCTTCTCCGGTGCCGGGGGAGTGGTCCTGGCCCCGGGGACTTACTGCTGGAAGAAATTCACCTTTTCTAAGGCTGGCCTCCTCTGGCAGGCCCAGGTGCCGGGGAAGGAGAGCGAGGAGAGCGAGGAGAGCGAGGAGAGCCTCCGTCGGCCTGAGCCTGGAGCTCTGCCTCTGATACCGTAGCTGACGGCAAGCACCCAGGAGCTGGACAAGAGGCCAGAGAGGGAGCCAGGGCCCAAAGTGGGGCCCCCGAAGGGAGGCAGGCAGGCAGGTTTGCCTGGGGCCCCTGCTGGGTGCAGCACATATGCACACACACACACACACACACACACACACACACACGCACACGGGCACACAGGCTCACACGGCCTGTCAAACAGACCAATCAGGCTCTCAGCGTGACCTGGGGGCCGAGGGGGACCACCTTGCCGCAGAGACCAAAGCTTCCAAGCTCAGGCAGCTGCTGCAAACCACCAGGAGATGGCCCCGCCACCAACGCCAAAGGAGGGGGGCAGCCCAACGAGGGCCTGCCTGACAGCTGGGCTCCCCCAAATCCCACAGGCCAGCCCTCACACTTCAGCTGAGCTTAAGGAGAAAGCTTCCCTGGCTGCAGGGAAGGCTGCAGCTGTCACATCTGCCAGGGCGGGAGGGAGGGAGGAGGCACCACTGCGGGCGCTCGCTCGCAGCACCTGATCCCAGGATCCCTTCGCAGCCGCCAGCCCAGGAGGCCGGTTCAGCCGCTGGCAGCCCGGGGTGAAACCTGAAGACCGAACAGTCCCCCAGGGATGCTGATGGCAGCCTCTGGGCGAGGCGGCCCGGGGCAAGCTGGGTCACAGGGCAGAGGGCGCTTCTCCGGCGGGCGGCTCCGGTGCCCGCCGTTTGCGGGGAGGAGGGCCGGGCCCAGTGGTGCAGTTCTGGGCCAGGGCCTCCCTCCGGCCTGCGCAGCCCGAGCTGCCCAGCGGGTTCCAGGGCGCCATCTTAGGTCAAGGTGCAGTCACGGGGGGCTCCCCTGGGGAGGGGGCGGGCTGGGAAGGGAGCCCCTGAGAACCGATGGGCCCCACTCCCCACCTAAGGCGCCAACACCTTCTCCGCAGGCTTTGCAGAGGAGAGGAGACGGAGGACGGACGGAGGGGTTGAAGCGAGGAGCGGGGGGAACGGAGGTGGGGTGGGAAGGGAGTGGGTTCCCCAAGAAGGGAGGGAGGGAGGCTCCAGGAAAGCTGAACGAAGTTTGGCAGCCGGAGGACGGCGGGCCCCAGCGAAGAGGGGCTGGGGGAGGCGGGGAGGGCCCTGGACCCACGCCAGCTCGGTCCGCGCCGAGGAGGAGGAGGAGGAGGAGGAGGAGGAGGAGGAGGAGGAGGAGGAGGAGGGTGGGCAGGGCGGCCTGGGGGAGGGGAGGGGAGCGGGGTGAGGGCGGGACACGGACCAGGGCCGCCTGGGCTCGGGAGCTCCGGACTCCCCGGGGCGTGGGGGGTGGGGGTACTCGGGCCGGAGACCCCGATCTGCAGCGGCGGCGGCGGCGAGGCCTCGTCCTTCACGGTGCAGATGCGAAGCTTTCAAGGACACGTCTGCACGGCCCGGCGGCGGCGGGGGTGCGTGTGCATGAGTGTGTCCGCGTGCGTGTGTCCGTGCGTGCGGAGCGGGTGCTCCTGCTGCCGGGGGCGACCCCGGGCGCCTCCCCTCGCGCGGCTCCGGTCCACCCCGGAGCCTCCACCACCCGCTTTCCGCCCCCCCCCCATCCCGGCCCCCCCCCCAGGCCCGGGATCTGCGCCCGCCCCCGCCCCGCCCCCACACTGCGGCGCCGCCGCCGCCACCGCCGCTGCCACCGCCGCCGCCCCGGCTCCCACGGCCCGGCGGGGGCAGGGAGGAGCCAGGCAGGCGTGCCCCCCTCCCGCGCCCTGGCCAGCCTTCCACAGGGAGGTGTGCCCCCCCAAGTGGCACACGCTCCCCACCCCCGATGCCCCTCCCAGCTCCGCTGGCAACCCGCACCCCCAGCCACAGGTGGCCGGAGGAGGATCGCTGCGCAGCGTTCCGCGGCTCGGCCCCCCTGATTACTCCTCCAACCGCCCCCATCCTCCCGGGGGGCCTCCCGGGTCCCCACCCCGCCGGGCAGAGGAGGGCCGCGAACCGGGGGGAGGGGCGGGGGGCCGGGTCGTGCCAGGCTGCCATTTTCTGCCGCCGCGGCGGAGCCTGCGCGGGGCCGGCCCCCGCCCCCTTCCTCCGCTCCCTGCGGGCGGGCCGCGGCGGGAGCCGATCGTCATTCCGGGTCCCGGGGTCCGCGCCCTCCGGCGCCCCGGCCGCAGGCCCCAGGCGGGGCTCCGGGGCTGGGGCCGGGCCGGAAGGCGGGGGTGGCCGGTGCCGAGACCCTGCGGCAGCACAGAGCGGGGCGCCGCGGCGGAGGCCGGCGGTGGCCCCCCCCACCCCCCGCAGGCGGCATTGTATGGACTTGAACTTGAGCCCGGAGCGCAGCGGGGGCGGGGAGGGGGCTCCGCGCCGGGAGCAGGCGGGACGGGAGGGGGCGCCTGCCGAGCCCGCGGTGACATAAACAAACCCTCGGACGCTCCGCACCGCCCCGAGCCCGCCCGGCCCGCCGCCTCTGCCCGCAGCCCGAGCCCCGAGGAGCGCCCGGCGCCCGCCGAGTTGCCAGGGTCCGTCCGGGAGCGCGCCCCGAGCGGGCAGTGCCCGCCGCCGCCGTGCCCCCAGCCCGGCCTGCCCTCCTCCCTGCCCGCCTCCGGCCGGCCGGCCGCCGGGACCGCCGGCAGCGGCGCCCATTACCGTGTGGCCGGAGGGGTCAGGCCGGCCCGGCTGCGCGCCCTGGAGCCGCGGCGCCGCGTCCCGGTTCGTCCTCTGGTCCTGACGCCGCCGCCGCCGCCGCCCGCGCGCCCTTCCTCCCTCCCGGCCCGCCCGCCCGCCCGCCTGCCTCCTCGCCCCCTCCCTCCGCTCGCTGTCGCGTTCCTTCTCTCCGCCTCCTCCGCCGGGTCCCCCCCCACCCCGCCTCCCACCACTTCTCTCCGCCTTCCTCCTTCCCTGCCTCCGGCCGCCCGCGGGCCCAGGCCTCCGCCCGCCGCTCGCCCCCCGCGGCCGCGCTGGCCCGGGCCCCGGCGCTGCGGAGCCGGCCCGGGAGGCAGCGCCGGCTGGGGGGCCCGGGGCGCCGCGGCGGGAGCCGCCCGGGCGCGCGGCCGGTCCTAGCGCCCTCGGTCCGACTTCCTGGCCTCTGCGGCGCCCCGCGGGGGGTCCCCCGCACGCTGCTGGGCAAGAGGGCTGGACCCTCAGCGCCCCGACCCTGCTTGGCCTGAGCACCGCGCCTCGGTCGGGCTCCGCGGGGCCACTCCTCCACCGGGCCCCGCACTGCAGCCGCCACCCACCCACCCACCACCCACCGGCCCACCCCCGCGGGGCGCTCTGCTACCTGGCGCAGCCTCAGCGCTGGGTCCCCGCATCCAGCACTGGCCGCAGGGACAGCGGCCCCTCCTCTCCCTGGCCGTGTCAAGTGCCTGCCTCCCTCCCCGCAGTCCGCGGAGCCCCCGGCAGCCTTCGCCCTGCAGTTCTCCCGGCCTCCGCCAGAGCCCACTGCTCTCCGCCCGCCTCAGCACTGGGGCCGGGGACAGCAGCGCCAGCCCCGCGGCGCCGCCGCAACTCCCACCCCGCCCGCCCGCCACCCCGCCCGCCAGGTGCCGCGGGCCAGGGGAGGCCACGCACTCCACCGGCCAAGGTCGGGGCGCCAGGCCTCTCTATAGGATGAGCCCTCCTGAGCGCAGTGAACTCCCTGTACCTTGAGGTGTCCAAGGAGTGCCCTCGCTTGGGCAGAGGAAGGCTGGAAGATTTCACGGGAGTTGGGAGGTTGAACGAAATGACATTGACGATCCCTTCCGGGTCTCATCAGATTCTGTGCGCACCTACACTCAACCTCACCCTTTCCCCGTGGCCGCGGGGGCTGTTTCTATTTCCCATAGAGTTTCTCAGGACGCCGTGTTTCTGATTTGGGGCATCTCTGTCTACTTCCAACAGCACAGTCACTTTCTGTTCATTTCTCTCTCAACTGCCACTTTGGGGGCTTGGGCCCTGGCCCCCCACCCGTCACCCCTGGTCTGGCTTCTGCTTTCATCGCTACCAGCCATCTCCCACTGGGCACCCCCATTCCACCCAGCACTTCAGCCACATGGAAGTGCCCTGAGCTTCCTGACCCAGGACATGGTGTGCTCCCTTCCCCAGGCACCCACCACCCCACTTGTGGGCAGGGGCGACTGCAGAGAGCACCTAGGACATTGCTGCTGAGAACAGTGCTATTTTCCCTCCCCGCCCCTACCCCCACCAGCTCCACCCCTGCGAGGGCCACAGGAACAGAGTTACCAAACTCTTTGGGACATGGAGCTGACCTTTCATCCAAGAGGCTGTCCTTCCGGAAGCCCATGCATGCTTCCAGGTCCTTTATTCTGTCCCACTTCCTGAACCTCAAGATCACAGGCCACTCAGCACACAGGCTCCTGGCTTTCTTCGGTGTCACCTGCACTCACGTGGTCGCCCTATGCCACTGACGTTTAGCCCTGCTACCCATGATCTCCATCTATCCGGTTCCGGAGATTCACCTTGTTCTTCCCATGAGGACCTCCCCTGCCATCCCTACAGCCTAGCCCTCAGCACATTTTGGGCTCTCAAGAAATCTTGGTTAAAATGAATATGAGCTCTGCAGGCTCTTGCCACCTTGTTGTTGATGTCAAGATGGGCATCCACAGACACTGCAAAACCTGGCTACGGGGACGACCATGTTTAGAAAGATGGCTGCTGTTCCTCTCCCTTCCCCCAGGGCTTATGTAACACTGCCTCCAAACAGCAGCGGCTGCTGCGCAGCGAGTCTCTCCTCCGTGACAGGCACCTGAGGCGGCATTTCCCCAGTAGGCCTTCCCATCCCTCCCAGGTAGTTTGTATTATCCTCGCTCTACAAGATAAAGAAACGGAGGCTTAGTCAGAGCCACACCACTTGGAAGTGGTAGAGCCAGGATTAGAAATGGGCGATGCAAGTTTCTGTTCGGCAGAACTATTAGTGACGAAATCACGGGGGCGCCCAGGATGCGTGTGACCACGGATATCTGTGTTGCTGGGGTCAAGCAGTACAAACTGGCCATGTTAAGGCATCTGTGTAAGAAGCAACCATGTGGTTACAGGGCTAGGCTCCAGAGCCTGGCCCTGATGAGGCTGGCATGAGAAGGACCCTCCGGGCGGTGCTGAGAAAAGGCATATCAGTGCTGGCTACCCCTCGTGGGCCTTCCTCACCACACATCACACTGGGTCCAGCCTAGGCTGGTTTAGTCTTTGGGCTCCTCTATACCTCCTTTATTTGTGTCTGCCCCACTGCGGCCTGACCAGAATCAACCAGGATTCTAGACCATCTGGGATAGGGACAGGCCAGGCTAAGGTTATCCAATGGTAACACACAACCCTAGGTCTTGGTGACAAAAACCTACAAAGGTTCTGTGGAAAACAGTATGGGAGTCCCCCATAAAAAAGTAACCATGTAATTACCATGTGACCCAGCAATTCCACTTCCAGGTGAGAGAACTGAAATCAGAGACTTGGATAGACACTTGTGCACCGGTATTCATAACAACACTACTCACAACAGCCAAAGGGTAAAGACAACCCAAATGCTCCTCGACTGCTAAAAAGGATCCATTCAGTGTGCCATATACACAACACTGGAATATTATTCAGCCTTAAACAGGAAGAAAACTCCGACACATCCTACAAAATGGATGAAGTTTGAAGACATGCTAAGTGAAGTAAGTCAGACACAAAAGGACAAATATTGAATGAGGGACCTAGAGAAGTCAAGTTCATAGAGACAAAGGAGAACAGTGGCTACCAAGGACGGGGGAGGGAGTAGTAGGGAGTTAGCGTTCAATGGGTACAGAGTTTTAGTTTGGGAAGATGAAAAAGTTCTAGAGATGACGAGTGGTGATGGCTCACCACATGTGAATGTATTTAATGCCTCTGAACACTTAAGAATGGTTAAAACGGTATATTTTATATTATATATGTTTTACCATAATAAAATAAAGCATAGTACAATTGTAAAGTAAATGTATTAAATATATTGTTAAAAACATGAAGTTTAGTTTCTTGCTCCTGTTACCTATCTGTGGCCGTCTGCAGAGGGGTTGAGCTCATCGAATTTTCTGGGACTCTAGCTGACAGGAGAGCCACCACCTCAAGGAGACCACTGGAGGGTATCACATTGACAACCACAATTTGCCACTCACTGGCTGGAACTGGTCACACAGCTCCACTCAACTACAAGGATTCAGGAAGTAAATGCTACAACGGCCCTCAAAGTGGGGAAAACCAGACATACGTAGTAACCAGCACTCATGACTAGCACAGGGGTCCTTCCAACTCCTCCTCCAACAACATGTTCCTACTAGAGGTCTGATGCATGAAAATTCATGCACTGGAGGGGGCTGTCCCTCAGCCCAGCCTGCCCCCTCTTACAGTCCAGGAGCCTTTAAGGGCAGGAGGCAACTTGGTAATCAGGGGAAAGCAACTCCCCATCATAGCTCTGCTGCTGCCACTGCTGGCAGCACAAGCCTTGGCCGGCCCTGGTTACCTGAGCCCCAGGCCGGCCCAGGGCAGCTAGGGGGGCTGAGAGGGCTGGGGGACTCTGGAGGTAGACCTGGGGGTGGGCCCGGCCATTCCATGCACCTTTAGTGTCGGTGGGCTGAGGAGACTGGGTGCCACCATCTTGTGGCTGTGGGCACCGCCATCTTTGAGGGTGTGATGGTCAATTAGCATATCCCCTTTTTATTACGTAGATAGGATGACAGCCTCCACCCAGAGACTCTAGCATAGGGGTGTCGAACTCAATCAGAGAAGGGGCCAAAATCTAAAATCCAGCCTAAATTGCGGGCCGAATAGTTTACTGAACAGTCATAAACTGTCATTGTGATGGAAACGCAGTGGAGTGCAGTGATGACATCGCGGTGCGGGCCACATTGCAAGGCCTGGCGGGACGGATTTGGCCCGCGGGCCTTGTGTTTGACACATGTGCTCTAGCAGAAGACTCAGTCCCCACACTTCTGACTGGCATGCCCCTTGGCCTCAACACCCTGCTAGACCTCATGTCCTCTCCATCAGTCAGCTTCTGAACCACTCCACTTGCCTCTGCCACCCCTCCTCTCTGACTTCCAGGCCTGGCTCACCTACCACCCTGCTCAGGGACTTCAACCCTGCAGTGACTCACCACCCACCATCTTAGGCACTGCATGTCTCACCCACTGGGAGAGCTACATCTGGACCACTGTCCATGTAGGTTCTCCATCTCTACCAAATGGGGATACTTTCTTATGTTCAGGTGCAGTGGTTCTTTTAGTGAAGACTCAGTTGCAAGTGACAGAATCCCAGTCTAAACTAGCTTAAACAAACAGAGGGATCCAGTAGTTTAGAGTTTAGACAATAGAGCTGGGGGTTCAGGAATGAATCAATCCATTACTTGCTCTCCGTCGCCCTCCTCTGCTTTCCCTCCTACTTCAAAAAAACTACAAGATGGCAGCCCGCAATTTAAGGCTTACAGTCTCCTAGTTTAGAATGCCAGTGGAAAAACATCATTTTCCTTTTCTCAGGAAACCCCCTAATGCTTCCAGGACATGGAGCTCTGTGTCCTTAACAACACCACTGCCCCCACCACCCCCCAAACCTGAGCCTCAAGGCCTGAGACACATAACTGTCCTGTTTTGTCTTTCAATGTCATCCTCACTCAAGGGGTCATGCCCAGCAGAAAGGCCCTGAGGATGACTTCAATTGTTCTGGCTTTGATCACAGACTCACCCTGACACAGGTTTGACAGCCAATGGATAGCGTGGATCACAGGCCCAACCCCATACCTGGGTGCAGGAGGTGGCCCTGGGACTGACATGAGTTGGGGAAGGTTTGTTCCCCAAAACAAAGGGTGCTGGACCCATACATGAC